TGTACATAGAAAAAGTCTTAGATCTTTGAGTTCAGCTCATGAAAAATGGGGGCAAAAACAAAAGTGTTGCGCTTATAATTTTGTTCAGTATATATATATATATATATATATATTATTGCACTGCGCTTCGTTTGCAAAACAATCTGCAGTCAAATGTTCCAAACAAACATATAATCCTCCAGTGAGATGCCATTAAAAATAAACTACGCAATTGTTTCTGATGCTTCCTTCTGGTTTCAGATGCAAACAGGACCAGTCAAAGCGAACCTTCCTTTACTCTTCTGTTTGTCCTGTTGTCAACAGTAGCTCAAGCATGTGTCAGAAACTAAACGGTCATCTGTATACTGTATCCAGTGTAGACAGCATCAGCCATTGGAATGGGTTCTATTTGCGTTTTCTATTTATTGGTGTAGCCAGGTGTCAACTGTTAAGTGACTTAGTGCAAGTGGGCGTGAACCGTGATGTGATGATGTAAAACCTGAATTTGCACTGCGCAGACCAATCTGTGTATGACATTAAAGTATCGCAAAAGCTACAGTATAGGGAGCAGACATCTCCATATGCTTTCCAATCGCTTTTGCGGTATTTGATGTCATACACGATCAGTCTGCGTAGTGTGCATTCTGTCACCATTTAAACTGCCCTGTCAATCATCTTGTCACAGTTAACGTCATCCATTTCATTTAATTTGATTTCCTACATTATCTGAGAGAAATGAAGAGGCATGTTGATCTGCCAGTCACGGGTCAATCATGCCGAGAACTCTCCTCCTGTGTTTGCATAATAATGCATTTGAAAGTTAATGACCAAACATATCTTTATAAAAGATCACAGTGTTGTTGCAGATGAAATATAATGAAGATAACATTGAATAAATATTTTTCATCAGGTTAGATATTGATTATCACTCGAACCCCTTTCTCTACCTGTCCGTTGATATCACATATCCACCATGTTTGTAGTTTAACACTTTTTATGTGTATTTGCAGTTCTAATCGAATCCTCGATCAACACACAATGGGTTGTGGGCAGTATGTGCACGGATCTGCACGTCTACTGGAAAATACTAATTTCAACATACTATTTGGTACTAATGTCTTGCCCTTGAGTCAGTCACATGCAAATGCCCGTGTGACGTCACAGATTCCACAACCTTCAAATGAGCCATGGAGCTTGATTAAAGAAATGTTCTTTTTATACTGGGGAGGGCATTTTCAAGGTGTTTTAAGGGTACAAAAATCTCTGTCAAACAATCAAGGAAAGTTTGATTTGTCATTTAAGTACTGTTTAAGTTTTAAGGATGCTTTTTATGTTGTTGTTTTTTAGAAAAGATAAAAGAGAAATAAAAAATGTTGAAATCACTGAATTGTAGAGCTGTTATGAACAGGGAAGGCTAATACAGTCAGTAGTAGAGTTTCTCCAAAAAGTATAAACCACAACAACTGAGAGATCATTTATCTGTGTGTGGTTTTGTCGGATGGGAATGCGTGTACATGTGCACATGGGTGTACAGATTTAATGAACTGGGGTTCTGCAGCAAACAACCTCACTCAGTGGGGCTCAGTTGTGGCTTTAGGACACCTTGTAAGGAAGGCTCAGACCCCGAATCCAACATTATTGGCCTAATCCCAGATCAAGCTTTAAGGGAGCAATTTTCTCCTCGGGAGATTTGACCCCAAGTCCCAGTAGACTCAACTATTTCTTGACTTCATAGAATTTACTGAAGAATGAACGTGTGGGCATCACGAAGGCTCTGCTCAGGTGGATAGTTAGTAGGTTGGCATGATGTGTGCACATGTACTAGTTATGCTATAAATTCAACATAATTGAAATATATACACATCACCCACAAATGGAATGTTTAAAAACAATAAACTATAAAAAAATCTTATGAATCTAATAATATGTGTCTTTATATCTATAATTGAATGCACATATAAAAGCCAGTCCATTTACATTTTCACTATAAAACATTAAATAAATATATGTACATTTGTGAATACTTATGCCTGTTAGTCTATATGTGTGGATAACAAGATTTGTAAGATTTGCCAATGTGTTGTCCCTTCAACCCCTTCGTAACACATGCTCCTGTGGTTATGGACATCACTTTTGAAAAAGAGACAATAGAATGATATGCATCAATTACAACTTTATAACCCTCCACGACAATATAATTTAAGCTTTATACTAAATTCTCCTGCTATATCCGTCCAGCTTTTTGGCATTTTCTTTTTCTTTCTTTCTTCCTTTCTTTCTCTATTCTATTCTATTCTATTCTATTCTATTCTATTCTATTGCATTCCATTCTATTTAATTCTGCAGTGAATAAATAGATGAATGGAAGTCTATTTTATCATTATTGTGCAGTGCATACATGGAGTGGATTATCCACTTTAATGAATTGGTTGAATACATACATAGTACAAAGGTATGCATGTAAATTCTGCATGGCAGAAATTTTTGGCAGAATCATTTGTTTGCTTCATGCATAATAATAAAGGATCTGCGATCAAATGAGATGTGTATCAAAACAAACATCCCCTTCACGTTAGATGCTAATGCGTGTGCAAAGCCTCAGTGGTTCCCTATGGAGGCGATTGGAAAGTGTTTCCTTGTAATTTTAGACCTTTTAATAGATTTAAATGACATTTTATTGATGACACCTACCACTTGGGCTACTACACTATAAAATTTTTGTTCACGTTGTCTAGATATGAATATGGTTGGTAGTGACCTCTCAGGCGTGTTATTTTACGTTGTGAATGTTTGCTGTTGAACATGAATGTGAGAGTTTGTGGCCTTGTAAAGAGGCGAGGCTAAAGAACAAAGCTTTTGTAACGTTATTGTGCTTGTAAGCAAGAGAAGGAGAAACCATTAGTATCAATCTTAACATTTAGTAAATACCGTGTCGCGCATGTTGTGATGCGAAAGTGGAGTCAAGGCTATCGTGCGCTCGGGTCTAGAGAGGAGAGTGTATCATTGTATTCTTTCGAGCACTCCCTTCATGAAGCTGTCCTCTCAGCCTCTCATATGACGGCACGAGTTTGTGTTTTCAAAGATCTTGATGTGCTCCAGTTGATCTTTCAACTAACCCATTGTAATTCTACCTTTGTAAAAGGAAAGACCAGCACTAAAACACCCTGTAATGGATCCAGTGTGAAGCCCTATCAAGTATGATGCTGAATTTGTAATGACTGTGTATCTTCACCGATTGATTTGTTAAAATATTCGTTTCTCAGTATTTCCATGCTTTATCAGAGTCACATCAGTTCCCTTGTTGCATTCTATTTCTAAGGAGGACTAGAATATATGCTAGAGGAACCATTATTGCTGTTATGGAGAAAACAAATTGTTGAAATATAGATAACATGCTCCTCATAAATGGCCTCAAGAGCAAACACCTATGGATGTTGCCAACAATACTCTGTAATCAGCTGCTGTTTGGGTGTGTTTGGTGGTTTGAAGAGCCTTGGCGAATAAACTAGGGGGGAAGATGATGACGGAGCAGAGGGATGTATGGGGGGGAGGCTGTTTCAGCCGCTCTGAAGAGGACTTTGCCCAGATGGATTGTGCTCGACAGAATGTCATGGATATAATTCACACAGGCAGCTTAATCAGGGTGTTTCCAGGAAACAACCTGCCAAAGAGAGGCAGCGATTGTTTGGTGGCCTCTGACCCCAGGGCCCATTATAGATTGTCATAAATTCTTTTTGCCCATTTTATATGGTGGGGGTTTTAGGATTTGGTTCTAGGTTTTGCAGAAGCTATTCTATAAGGGCCACCCAGTGCTTAATACGTCAGTGGGAGAGATATGGATCTGCTAGAACAAAATGAGCCACAAACAATATTTCACATTTCTACAGCCAATGCTTCTCATTTAAAACCAGAGAAGAATAATATGAATAAGAATAAGAATTATGAATAAGAATAAGAATTAAAAATAATATGGTTAATTTGTGTGTGTGTGTGGGATTGCAATTGTAATTGCAATTTTAAAGTTTTGAATGTACTTAAATTCTTAATACACATTCCTGGTCTTATTGTGCATGATTCATCAGTGCATAACATTCAGAAAATCTTGTAAGTAACATGTTCAATACATGTAAAGTCAGTTCATGTAATTAATGTGACATAAATAAAAGCAAATTATGGTAGATTTGTAAAAGAGTTACAATTAGGATATGTCTAGATGCTGTCGAGGGTGAACGTCATCTTCAGCCTCCTCATCCCAGTTCTAAATTCCCCTTAAAAGTGGTCCCCCTCAAAAGTCCATTGCAAACTCACTCTCAGACAAGAAAGAGCAGGTTACTACCTCTTGTATGAAACAAAGTGTCAGCTTTCCAATTTTGTCAATTTCTAAGAAATTCAAACGATAAATGCCATTTTGTGGCTCTGTAATGTGTCGTGACAGATTGCTGTAGCCCCTCAGTTAAAGTGGCTCGTGAAACGATCATCTTTTCATATTTACTAGTTAAAGCATGAAATAAACATGCATGAACATTAGAAGGTATTTTATTTCAACCGTGGAAAGACATCAATACACACCATTTTTCAAGTTTAAGTCCACCAAAATTAATCCACTCTCCTGTCTGGTTTGTTTGTCGGACAAAATGGGCGGATTCGGCGATATGATTGGTCAGCTCGCCTGCCAGTCAAGCTCCCTGCGAAGGGTCAATTCCCAGTGGATAATATCAAGTCCCATCCTGTATATATTTCCCATTAAACATCCTTTTTGCTCCGAAATATGTTACATTGTACAATCAAAGTGGTTTGCAAATGTAGTTTCTTGTTGTAGAATTACAAGTTGCAAGAGGAAACAAAAAAGTTAATAAAGCTATATACAATAACAGTAAATATTCAATATACATGAGTCATGACAATTTAACTTCTTGTTTGTTTGTTCTTATTTTCCAGGCTCTCCATGGAAGGATTTTGTCATCTTCTGCACAGCATTGAGCGACGTCTCAATGCCAAAGACATGAACCTCTACAGAAGCACAGTCAATGAGCAGAAACTCGATGATATCATCAGGTCAGAGAAGGAAGATGTTTTGTTCCCTGCTTGAGTCTGCTTCCTCTCATGGTGCTGTAGTGTTCACAGATTCAGTGGAAATTGCATTATCCTGCCTTTAAGGGCTCTCACTATAAATTAAGTGCCATTACTTTGGCACCAACAACACTCTAGCTATAAATCTTGGTTTCTAAGGGGTTTTGAATCACAGTGAATTGTTATAGTAACCATTTTGCAATGGCATGCATACATGCCAGTTTAATGTTTTCTGAGTTTATTTGTGTAGATTGATAGAATTGGAGAATATTTGTACTAATATAAAGGAGGCTCAAATGTGTGTGACTGCACTCCACATATTCTCATTTCTAATGTCATGTTTCTTTATGTATTGCCCAGTATATGTGGTCAGTGTGGGCGTCTGGATGGTGTGGAACTGCATGCGTGTGGTGCTGTGGTTCTGCAGCAGCTGCCCCTGTTGTCCTGCAGTCTGTCTCATGGATGCCTGTTACCCAGTGATCTGATCAACACTCACTGGTCATCAGCTACAAAACCAGAACAGATCAGGTATAGTGCTTCTTTACAGTTCTCTGGACTCATAGCATCTATTCAGGTTGTTTCACTGTTATGTATAGCAAGAGACTGTTTGAGAGCCTATTATTTTTTATTTTCTGTTTCTGTTTCTTGTGTTTTGGAATGATTTAACTAGAGTGTATTTTTAATGTATTACCAATTTAATGTTTTATAAGTGTAAGAAGACTTACAGCTTCACAGGTCACCACTGACAAAGTACTAAGCTGTTTTTGTAATACTGCATTTTTGTTTAAATTATATCAATGATATGTATATATATATATATATATATATGTGACCCTTGACCACAAAACCAGTCATAAGGGTCAATTTTTCGAAATTGAGATTTATACATAATCTGAAAGCTGAATAAATAAGCTTTCCATTGATGTATGGTTTGACATATGACATATGATATATGACAATATTTGGCCGAGATACAACTATTTGAAAATCTGGAATCTGAGGGTGCAAAAAAATCAAAATATTGAGAAAATCGCCTTTAAAGTTATCCAAATTAAATTCTTAGCAATGCATATTACTAATCAAAAATTAAGTTTTAAAATACTTACAGTAGGAAATTTACAAAATATCTTCATAGAACATGATCTTTACTTAATATCCTAATAATTTTTGGCATAAATGAAAAATCGATAATTGAGCCATACTATGTATTTTTGGCTATTGCTACAAATATACCCCAGCGACTTAAAGG